AGCCGGACGAGATCTCCGTGCAGAAGTGCCGCGAAGCCGCCCGGCAGGTCGCTCGCTCCGCTTCCCCTTTCCGCCGGTCGGAGCGGTGATGCGGGTCCGGGGGCACCCGGGTCCAGCCGGGCGGGAGGCAGCTGGGGGCGCTGGCGCAATCCGCAGCGGCCTGAGGAGAGTCAGGGACGTGTCCGGCCGGGCCTGGCTGTGCTCCTGTCACCCGGCTGTTTCTGCCCCGTCCCGGGTGACAGTGAACCCTGGCCGGTGACGCGGTGTTTTGGCGGTCCCACTGCTGCTCGTCTGCCTCCCCTACGTCCCTTGAGCACCAGAAGGACGTGACAGCTCCTTTAGTCCAGCCCCAGCAGCAGTAGGACACAGAGTTCTCTGTCATTTGGAGCTTCTGGCAGATCACCTTCCAGAGCTGTCTCAGCGATGGGTGTCTTGAAAGACCCGAGCAAGGGTTGAGACTCAAGGAAAAAGCAGGTGTTCCTCCAGGACACAGGCTTTCCCTTTCCTTGTCCCGTCGTTCCTGTCCCTCAGGACGGCAGGAGGTGTTCAGCTCTGCTCATTTATCTCCATGTGAGATCTTCCCAACTTGTCTTCAGATCATGGCAGGGGAGAGCATGCGTTTGCTTGTCTCAGTCTAGCGTGGATTGCCTTTGAGGTAGAGCTCAAACGGCTATTGATTTTTTGTGACATACTTGTTACTGTGGAAATCTGAGAATGGGATAGAGCAAGAAAATGGGGTTGGAGGCAGTGCCTTTCTCTAGGTCTAATGTTTCCATCTCGGGCTTTTGCTGTAGGTTCAGGGACCTGTTATAGTAGAGGATACCTGCTTGTGCTTCAATGCCCTGGGGGGGCTTCCAGGGCCCTACATGTAAGTAGGAGGAAACTTGCTTCATCTTTCATGTTCCTGAGTTAGGAGCACAGGCTGTCAGGATGTGCTTTGTGGGGAATTCTCCATGCACCAGGAGCAGTGGGCTCAGGGAGGTGATTACTGGTGTGTGTCCTCAGCTTTATCCTACACCACAGGGGCTGGACTTAACCCCTTGAGTCCTACTGTAAGTTACAGTGTGGGATAAGAGAGACCGACCTGAATTGTTGGCTGTGGCTCCCGATAGATGGTGCCTGCTCTTGCAGCCAGCTAAGGGACCTGCCCTCACAGTGGGCTCTGTAGTTACAGCACTGTGCGTTTCAGCAGGGCTCACAGATGAGTGGCCTATGGATTCTCACAGGGACTGTTTTAATCCAGATGACAACAAGATTAGTACACCACAGTGTAACTCCTCTAATAAAATACTGCCTTAACTCCCAGGATTAATTTTTTATGTGATTAATTCTTGCAAACCATCTCTGCTGAGCTAACCAAAGATATAAAAGCTTTCTAGGATGATGTTGGCATTAGAACAGAGTGTAAGATGTGAACCAGTTGAGCTGAGAAACGTATTTCAGCGTATTATTGCTCACAAATGAGAACTGGGTTATTTACATAAACACCAGTACTGCAGTAAATGAAGTACCCACTGCTGTTGTCACTGTCTCCCATTGAGTTCTAAGAACTAAGTGTCATTATTGATAAATGATCCAGAATGACGTGATTTGACAGCAGCTTTAAGAGGGGCACTATGGAAATGTAGGCAGTAGTGCCTTGAGGATACCTGTACTTCTGAGCAATAGTAGAAAAAAAATAATCTTTCCTCTCTTCTTCCCCTTCAGAAAATGGTTCCTGGAGAAACTCAAACCAGAAGGTACTGCCTCTTGGGTTGCTGCTCTGCATGTAACTCCGCAGTGGAGCCCACGCTGGGTTCTGTGCGCGTGCTCGCCCACCGTGCTGCTGGCTCCTCTCCTGTCTGTCAGCTCTGTCCCCTCACGCTGTCTCCCAGAGACTGTTCTTCAGGCCCCTTCTTCACAGGATGCTGTTTCTCCTGGTAGCTTCAGCATCCTCCCTGGATTCCCAGACTCTTGCCTGTGCAGGCTGGTGGCAGGGCTTGGGGGCACTTCTTGTTTGTCATCAGTGTGACCTGGAAGACCTTCTGCTCCCTTTTGGCTTCTGTTGCTGGAGACCAGCACTGACCTCTGCTGGTGTGCAGCAATTGCCTTTGATCCCACAATTAAGAGTGTGACTGAAAATCTCACACTGGCATTGTGAGCATTAATCACGCTAATTCAGAGTGGGCTTTAGTCCTCTCTGGTGCCACATGCTTATTTTCTTCTCCCAGTTTAACAGTGAGGCCCTGTGGCTCATGCTGTACTAGATCTGTGGCCCTGGCTTCAGTCCTACAAGGACTTGTGCCTGAGCTTTGTCTCCTATAGTTCTTTCTCTGCCCCAGGGATGTGAATGCAGAATGCTCCCTCGCTGCGTCCCTAGGCGGGTGTATTGTGTTCCAAGAGAGAGGCAGTAACGCTGCTGTCCTCTGCGTGTTGCTCAGGCCTCTACAAGCTGCTGGCTGGGTTTGAAGACAAGTCTGCCTACGCTCTCTGTACCTTTGCATTCAGTACTGGAAACCCTGAGGAGCCCGTGAAGCTGTTCAAAGGCCAGACTCATGTAGGTGTTGTGCCTGGGGAAGGGAATGCGCTGAGGGAAGAGGGCTGCAATACAAATTCTGTAACAACGTTGGATCTGTTGAGGACAATTTTAGTGGCCCCTGGGTCACTGAATGTCCTCGGAGCTCCTCTGTGTTGGGTGCAGGCTGAGGGGGAGTGTGGGCAGTGGGTGCTGAGCCCTTTTGCCCAGCTCTGTGTAGTGAGCTCTTCACACTCCCTTGTCCTCCTGCATGACTGCCAGGGCAGCACTGAAAAACCACAGATTTTGGGGCCTTTTTGTTTTCTCACTGCAGGGGCTGATAGTGGAGCCCAGAGGCCCTCGAGATTTTGGCTGGGATCCCTGCTTTCAGCCAGATGGCTACAACCAGACGTAAGTGGCGTTCAACGTACAGCTCTTTATGTAAAGAAAGCCGGAGTCAAGGTTGTGTGTGGAGAGAAACCTGCTTACGAGGGTGGCAGGGGGGAAACGCTCTCCTGGATCTGAATGTGCTGGGTTACAAGACCCCCCGGCTCAGGATGGGGGTTGTTGGCTTTGCCTGTGTGACTCTACAGACACCCCCGCTGCAGACGAGCGGGGAGACAATGAGCAGAGGGGAGTGACACGTCCTGTCACAGCTTGGCTGCCAAGAATGGTGGTTTCTCTCCCCTCCAGCTACGCTGAACTGCCCAAGGCCGTGAAGAACTCGATCTCGCACCGCTACAGAGCACTGAGCGAGCTGTCTGCCTTCTTCCTTCAGAGCAACGCGACAGAGCCCAGTGCTGGTCCCAGCTAGCACCACTGGGCTGTGGGCACCCTGCGTTCTCTGTGTCACATCCTGCCCTGGGAGATCCCTGCTCCGCTGTGGGCTGCCATTAAAGCTGCTCCTTTTGAAGCCACTGGTCCCTTTTTTCCTCCCCATTTTTGTTGCTTCAGAAATGCTGCACAGCCCATTCGGTCTGGTTTATTTAGGTTATGTGTTTGTGCCTCGAGGGGGCTTGCAGGGGGTACTGGGGCTGTGGAGAACTCTGGCCTGTGCATTCCCTGCTGCAGCTTCTACCTGGGGAATGATAGAATCATTTAGGTTGGAAAAGGCTTTTCAGATATATTAAGTCCAACTGTTAACCCAGCCCTGCCAGGTCACCACTAAGCCATGTTGCAAAGTGCCATGTATACACATCTTTTAAATCCCCCCCGGGATGGTGATGCCACCGCTTCCCTGGGCATGACAACTAAAGCTCCCCTGGTGCAACTTGAGGCCATTTCCTCTTGTCCTATCACTTGCTGCTTGGGAGAAGAGACACCCCCATCCTGCTCCAACCTCCTTTCAGGGAGTTGTCAAGAGCAAGAAGGTGGCCCCTGAGCCTCCTTTTCTCAAGGCTAAACAAGCTGCTGTCCCTCGGCTGCTCCTCACCGAACTTGCACGTTAGACCTTTCAGGAGCTTTGTTGGTGTTCTCTGGACACACTCCAGCACCTCAGTGTCCTTGTAGTGAGAGGTTCAAACCTGAACACAAGAGTATGCGAGGTGCTGCCTCCCCAGCGCCGAGTACAGGGAGACAGTCCCTGCCTCAGTCCTGCCGGCCACACTAGTGCTGAT